CCATGCTGTAATAAATATCAACATAAACATTTGAATCCAGTGCACAGCTGTTTGTTCATGGCGCGGGCTGTGGGTACGGCTGTGAGCTCTGCATGCAGGCTCTGACCCGGTGCAGTGCCGGGGCGCTGTGGGTTGGGGCTGCTGGAGGCCATCTTAGGCAGTGGTGAGGGTGATGTGTTGGCAGTGCCTGAGACAGGCTGCTTTTGTGCTGCTTTCCTGGATTTGTGGAGCATTTTGAAGCAAATTCAGCTTTTAGCCTGGGAAAGGCATAGAACAGTTGCGTTGCGAGGGATCCCAAAGCTCACCTCGCTCCGACCCCTGCTGCAGGCTGGCTGCAACACCAGGGCAGGTGTTGCAATGAAAGGCCACAACGAGATCTCCCCGCAGTCTTCTCTGGGCTGAACTGGCCCAGCTCCCGCAGCCTTTCATTGTAGGAGAGGTGCTCCAGCCCTCTGAGCATCTTTGTGGCCCTCCTCTGGGCCTCTCCAACAGCCCCCCATCTTTCTGAGCTGGGGGCCTGCAGCCTGGGCACAGTACTGCGGATGGGGCCCTGTGCTGCAGGCACTAAGGGTGCTGATGGGCGCCTGATAGCTCCTCATGGCAGAGCCAGGCAGGGGGCTGGGGGTGCACAGAAGCACTTTCTGGGGCTAGAAAGGCAGATTTCTGCACTCTGTCCCTCAAGGCGTGCGGACCCTCGTGCTCACCAGTTCTTGGATTGTTTCTTTCAACACAGCCCTGAGAGCTGCCAAGCTCCTTCCCCAGCAGCCTCCCAAGCCCGGCCCCAGGGATAATCGTCTCCCACGTCGGTGCTCATTAAATTAAAGGAGGAGGTGAGCGAGCAGGGGCTCCAGCCAGGTACACAGTGTACTTGCTGGCTAACAGCCCCCGGATGTTGGGCCCATACTGGGTCTGAGCCAGGGGAAAGCAGTGCTGGAGAAACAGTCCTCATCTTCAGCAGCGGTGAGGGACTTGCACACTTGCCCTGAGTCCTGAGCGCCCGCTGCAGTGAGTGGGAGCAGCCTGTGCAGCTCTCAGAGACAAGGGGGATCCCAGGAACAGCTCAGCAGGCTCACGGTGCTGGCGGCTGCTCCTAATGCAGGGAGCAGGAGCTCTTCTTGCAGCTCTCCCTGGCGGCACAGCCAACATGTTCTCCCACGTTCTGCTTCCCGACTGCCGTTCATGAAATGTTAATGTCTGCTTCTCGGGCCGTGCTGAGGTAATGCCCTTTAGCTGCTGATGAGCTTTTATGACTTATTGATACCCGCCCAGATGTGCCTCTGTGCCCCATTCCCAGCTCCAGCTCGACTCCAGTGGAGGAAAGGGTGGCTCCACTGGATTGCATGCAGTGCGCCCACAGGACACCTGCAGTAGGGTTCAGCCATGCCAGGAGCCCAGCTCTGCCCACCCCGACCTCCCTCTGGGACCTCAGAGCTCACCCAGGACATGGGGCTGCTGCACCCCCAGCAACATGAGCACGAACTGGGGCTGGCAGCTCACATGGCTTCTGAGTGACCAAAGCTGGTACCTGAAGCGACCTCATTTCCCCACTGAGTGTCCAGTGTTTCACTGCCGCCATCATTTTTAAAATTGCCTTTGTTCTGCCCTCCTCCATCCCTTCCCATGCTCTGTCTCTAACTACTGGTGCAGGCAGGACTCCAGCCTTCCTGAAGCTGCCTTTACTAGCAGTGATTTCTTTGTGGAGCGGTAAAAGCAGCTGAAGGGACTTTGGCTCTTTCCCGTGCAGCCCACCTCCACAAGCTGCCCTACCTACCAGGAGCACTCGAGGTGTTTCATCTCCCTCTTCATGCCCCCTCTTTACCACAACCAACCTTTTAACAGCTTCCTCAGCAGAGCTGTTCTGCTCAGGAATGCGAGCGCTGAGTGCAGGGCTGGCTGCTCAGCAGGGCTGCCTCCCTGTGCAGGGCGATGACCCACGACAGGAGGGGTGAGCAATGTCACTTTCAGCTGTTCTGCAGGGCCCCCACCACATAGCAGAGAGCCAACGAGCCTGAAGAGACAGAACCACCACCTGGAACAGCCTCTGCAAAGCTCAACTATCAAAAGATGTTCCTAAATAGCCGGGTGCAAATTACAGATTTAAACAGATGAGCTGAATTGAGCAGTCCTTTGAACAGACGGAATTAACATAATTTAGATCAACGCAACACTTACTGGATTATTTCTCTTTCAAGCATTTTCTCCTAACCATTGAGAGATTTATTAATTTAACTCACAGAAGACGCATCCCGATTCATTGAGCCCAACAGCTGATCTCCAGTTTGACGAGCAAGGATCTGTTTTCTGAAATCTGCAGAGTGGAGCTGTTTGATAGCCTGAGACTGGAGCACACAGCGGAGGTGCTCATCCAGATGGTCAGACGAGATCACAAAGCACAGACCAGTCTCCGACACGAGAGACTGACGTGATACGAATTTCTTGGAAACGTATGTGCTCCTCCACTCCTTAACATAAGCCAGGCTGTCCTACTCCTTCCCATGTGCTGAAGGGCAACAGTGCAGAACTGGAAAACATTTTACATGTGGTTGAAGCTAATTTAACCTTCATCTTACAAAAAAAACACATACTTAATCCCCCCGTTTTAAGAGAACATGCTTCCTGCTCAGCTAGCACAGTGTGGCAGGAAGAAATTCTTTGTGTTTCTAGCAGCCACTGCCAGTTACCAGGCACCAAAGTTTCATGCTACGCTCCACAGCGCTTTCCCCAAATGGATACTTCTCTTCATCAGTATTGGGAGGGGTAAAAGAACGGCAGTTCTGCAGGTTCAGCAAACCAGTCTCCCTGATTAAGTACTTTGGGAACTAAGAGCAGGGCAGCACAACACCCCAAAGCACCCAAGAGCAAAGCAAAGAAAAACCCACACAGAAGGAGAAGGGCATGACTCAGGCTCCTCTCTTCAAGCTCCTCAGGTACCTCCCATGTACACTGCACTCACAGGTACTCTGAAAATAGGTTAGTCTGTGCAAAAGCACACGGAGCACAGCAGCTGTGCAAAGGAACTGCGACGGGTTTATGTTCCTGCTAGGTAACCGTGGAAACATCCAGGAGGATGCACTTGATCACTCTGTAGCCTCACAGAGGTGAGCTCCTCAAATTAAACTTTCTTCAGGCACAATTTGGTTTTTAAAAAAATTTTACTTTCTGCAGCAATATAATTTATTTCTGAAAGTACATCAGTCCACCTTTCCTTCACTATGCGATGGTTCTGGCAAAGAGAAGCAGCAGGTACAGTTGGTGAAGGATTTTCATTTGAGCTGAATTTCACACAGTTCCATGCAGATACAGCGCCAGAAACTTCTTGAATGTTTCTGGCTGTAAGCCATATATTCCAGTGGGCTTCTGCAGAGAAAAGACACGGATGCTCAGTTTGCAGTGAAGTGATTAATGCAGACAAACAACAGCTTTAAACGCTCTTGAACAAGGCTTCAAAGGCGGTGCCTTCCAAACTGTGCTCCCCCTGCCCTCCCCAGGTGGCTCTGTGTGGAGGTACTCCCACTGCCATCAATCTCAGGCGGTGGGAACGCTTTGTCCATCCA